TTGGTGGAGGTTGTGGTCTTCCACTTGGAACATCCAAAGAAGGAGGTGGGGGAGCATCTGATGTGACAGTGACAAGTGTCTTCATTAAAAATTTGGCAGTTTTCTTATCTTTCAATTCAGCTTCAGAAATACCTGCCTTCTCGAAAATGGTTTTTAGCTGTGGAGGGATTTCAGTAAAGCCAAGCTTTGGATCAAAACCAATGTGTGAAACGTGTTTAAACTTGTCAACCTTTGGTCCAGAAATTTTGATTTGTGACCGGTCAGGAATTTGGTCCTTATTCTTTGTTCCGAAAATCTTGGAGAATAAACCACCTCCACTACTGCTACTACCTCCACTACTGCTATTGCTAGGAATGTGTTTCTTTTCAGGTTCCTTATGGGAAGAGGTAGTGCTGGTAGTATGTACTGAGCTACTGGCAGCAATTGAAGTATTGACAGCAGTTGGCTTGTTAGCAACTGGTGGAGGAGTGGATGGAGGAGGATTAGTCTTCTTCACTGGAGTAGGTGGGGCAGTACTGGAACCAGTACCAGTTGGTGAAGAAGAAGAAGAATCAGAACTGTCACTTCTCATATTAACAGAAGGTTTAGTTGAAGGCAAACTTGGAGTTGAACCATTGATAGAACCAGTTGCTTTCAAACGAATGAGTTGACAAACTTGCTTGGCAAATTGATCAGCATCAAATCTTTCAGCAAATAACAATCCGACAAAACCATCATCAGATTCGAATGCATGAAAATTGGAAGAAAGTGTTTGATAGTCGAAACCTTCATAACATTCTTGTTCCATAGTAACTGATTTACTCTTCAAATCTACCAACCGAATCATTACTACTGATTGCTTTTCAACCAATGTAACTGTCAAAATTCCATAAGAATTGGCATATGACCATTGATTACCATTGTTGGCTTTGTAGAGACGAACTGGTGCAGAATACTTGATTTCGAAAATGTTTGGTAAAGACAAGACACCTGCAGCGAGTTGTAATTCGTCAGGGAGAATGTTGATTCTTGTTGTCATTTTTTTTTAACTTTATTGATGAGTGACGTTTGTTGTTCCTTTGCTATTGTAACCTTTTTGTATCAATCTTTTCAATTTTTATCTTAGAAAAGTAATATTATTCTTGTTGTCATTTGTTTATTGAGTACGCAACGTTCCTAATTTGCGTTTTTGAGACGAGCTACGTATTTTTCAATAACAAACAAGAATCCCGTGTGGTCCAATGGCTAAGATACCT